TTCACTGATCTTTCTCCACCTCGCCCGTCCGTCTCGCCCGAGAGCCCCCGGTAGGGCCTTGGATGAATTGGCCGCGCTCCGCCTCGCCCGAGGCCGGGCTCGTACCGCAACCTCGTCGCCTCCGTCTCAAAGGTCTCTCTAGCAGGCTGTCGCATCCGATTAATGCGCTCAGCTGCACCCGCTACGTAAGCCACGATCGGCAGTGCGCTGCAATAGGAGCGACGGGACAACGGTCAGATCACCTTTTTTACCATCCCTACTGACAACACAGTACCAGTATCCTCGTAGGCGCATCGCCTCGCCTTTGTTCCGCTTTGATGACCGCTGGGACCCGCATTCGCACTGGTCACTCCTCGTGCCTCGGCAAGACAGTCGAGCCTCGGACGACAGCCCTCGCACGACCGGCTACGATGGCGCCAGAGCCTCGCGCAATCCACCAAGTCAACAAATGCGCAGCATGTTACTTGCAGTGGAGACCATACCGATTAGACATCTACGGAAACTCCCACGACGACGCCATGCTGCTCCAGGAGTAAATACGTCATCGAATAGTCCTTGCTCCACGTGTAGCTCTCTTATGTACTCCTGGTTTCCTCCCTGCGGCTATAAAAGGAGGCGGCCAGGACCGTTTCTAGAGGACGGCGGATAGAGTCACGAATACTCGCACGAACAACACGCCTCATTCTATAATTCATATCACCTCCCCTCACAGAGACCTGGGATGAACTCCCTCTCTCGCCTAGCTTGTAACCCCCTACTACGAGCACCTCGGTGCAAGAAATACAAGAACATCTTCTCAGACTGGACGTAGGGCATCCATTGCCGAACCAGTATAAATCTTGTGTCTCTTTGCATCACTATCCAGAATTAGAAGCACGCAGCACAAATTCACTAGTCGGTTAAGGACCCCCGGTTCCGAAACACCGACAGTGTCGGTCAGACTAGCTCAAAATTGACCAAGTTTATAGTAAATAGTGTTAGCACTTATGCCTTCAAATAAATAGTATTAACACTATAACAATAAGCTAAAGCTGTTTGAAGCCCCGCTAAAAGGATAAAAAAATGCTTGAGTATTAGTATTTTGGCTTTTACTATATAACTAGATATACGCTATGTTTAGAACAAAAGAAGTGAAGTTACCTATTTAATTTGGGGACTTGATATAATCTGACTTGACAAGTTTCTCAAGGAGCTCTTGGAGATGCTCTAAGTAGTTCATTAGTTGTGAGTTTTCTTTTCTGCTAACTATTCGACTTTAGTTGTTTGAATAGGTTTGGTGAGATCTAAGAGCAGCTCCGGTGTACTTCAAAATCGAACCGTGGTCTATGGCAAACGAATCGTCAACATTGGACCAGTGGAGCCGAGGTCGTCAGAGTTAAAATCGGATGGATTATTTTAATCGACTCGGCCGCTGCGTCCATGCAAAGCAGCCGCGCATGCTCCCTCCATGCCAGCTGCTGAGAGATACATTTTTTTTATTATAGCATGCAGGCTCTACAAATTGATGTGCACAACAACAATCGAACTTCAGCTGTGTTCGTTTTTTCTGGATCGCATGTGGTTCGCTTTCACACTGGAGGTACCCCAGCATCTCCAGCCGGTTTGCCTCGTATGTTCTCTCTATATGTACATTTGCGAATTATCTCAGACATATGGAGGACATGGTACCCACTACCCAATCGTGTGCTCTCCCCATGTGTGCACCCTTATCTTTTTCTTTTTTATCCCATTTGACAATAACGCTATAGTTCATTTCTATTTATCCTCACAATAATTTGAATGTAAATCGTCCGGCGCTTAACATTAAACAACAATTCAAATACAAATTTTGGTTGTCATAGGTTGAACTAAAATTCAACTTTTCCACGTCATAATTATTTAAATATTAAAACATAGTCAACATGGGTCTTGAAACATTTGATTAATTGCAAGAAATACGGTCATATACTTTGTTTAAAGATTTGTTTACCATATTTAAGAGTAGAAACCATTTATTCTAGAAAAAAATGCGACCATGTAGGCTTGCAGAGATCTTTTCTTTAGCCACAGCTCACAGGAGAACTCTTGTTGGATGCCTGGATGGACTCTGTTGCGGTAAGGTATGGGCCAGACCCACAAGACTTCTCGGCTTAAAACAACAACCATTCGCATATCGGACTTCGCATAGTAAAATTCATTATGCAATTCAACAATGTATAAAACTCCTACCATTCCATTCACAAACTAATCTGTTCAGTCAAATGGGATCTACTTTATGTAAAAAAACAATACACCACGTAAGGCTTTGTTTGGATACATTTTTATCCACCAGAATCCATTTGTGTTAGTGTGGAACTAGTTTAATTTTTACTCTAATTCACTCTAACACGTATGAATTGAGGTGCATATGAATGCATCCAAACAAGTCATAAGTGAAGAACATATATTTTTATACAGTTATAGCCCAGACTTATTACATGGTTGCAAAATGCAAATTAACTGACATTCAAACACCCTATGCATGTACTAAATGATTTAGGTTTAATTTGAGTTTTGCAAAAATAATATTATGGCGGGGTTTTCCTCCTCCAATAAGTTATGAAAATCAAACATCTAACGACCCTCTAGCACAGTGAGACTTATATCATTTATGGACAATTGCTTGTTGTCAACTGTCTTTCTAGGTGGGCAGTAGTCTCTAAGTGCAAAATACGTAGGTTGCTTTGGCGTTGGAAGCGGTGTCATTTTGTTCTCCAGCATGAACACAACCACCGACATGAGTGGCCTGCAACTCGGATTGTCTTGAACACACAAGAGTGCTATATGGATGCATCGTGAAACTTCATCAAGGGAGCAAATCTCCATGATAGATGAGTCCACCAAATCTTCTATTTTCCCTTCTTTCCATATGTTCCATGCCTGAAACATTACACATCAGTCTCACATTCAGAGATCATATTTTGTCTCCTGTGGATAGTTCTGAATTCTGACCATGTCCTTGTACTTACATATGATATAAGGTTAGAAAAATCCATGATTAGATGTGCTGATGAGCTAATCTTTAATCCACTTATGATCTCCAACAATAGAACACCAAAGCTGTAGGTGTCAGACTTGACTGAAAATGTGCCTTGCATTGCATATTCGGGAGACATGTAACCACTGTGCAAATAATTTCATAAAAATTCTTTGCATATTTTTGAAACTGTAAAAAGCGAATGAATTCTAAGAGTTGGCAGTGCAGCTGCTACTTACTATGTCCCGACAACTCGGTTAGTATTTGCTTGGAGTTGGTCGTCATCACCACAGAATATCCTAGCCATGCCAAAATCTGATATCTTTGGGCTCATCTCCTTATCTAACAAGATATTGCTTGATTTGAGATCTCTATGGATTACAGTTAATCTCGAGTCATGATGGAGATACATAATTCCTCTAGCAACCCCCTGGATTATTTTGAACCTTCTTGGCCACTGAAGCAATGATTTTCTTGTAGAATCTAATAAAAATAATACAGAAGAACAAGGCATGATAGAAGGCACAAATGAGCACATTTATTTGTTGGGTTTTATTGATGCTTTGAACAATTGGATTTGAATATACCAAAGAGAAAGTAATCCAAACTTTTGTTGGGTAGGTACTCATAAACTAATAGCCTCTCATCTTCATGAATACAACAACCGAGAAGCTTAACTAGGTTCTTGTGCTGCAACTTTGCAATTAAGACTACTTCATTTTTGAACTCCTCGGTGCCTTGCCCAGAACCCTTGCTCAGCCTCTTGACAGCTACTTCCTTTGTGCCTTCCAACATTCCCTACATGATTTCATAATCCAGAATTATAAATTTTTTTACAGCAATGTAATTTCCTAGGTAATCCCAAACTTTTTTATTCATACCTTGTATACTTTGCCAAAACCTCCTCTCCCAATCATATTGCAATCAGAGAAATTATCTGTTGCTATTGCAATGTTTTCAAAGCTAATAAATGGGAACTCTATTATGTTCTTGTCACCAGATTCATCCATAGAACTCAAGTATTCTAGCATCCTTCTCCTCTTTTGTCGTTTGCCTGCAAGTAGTAACATCAATGTATCCCTTTTGTTCTAGAACATCGGCACATTGACACTGCACACATTCTTTAAAACGATGGCTCTTGGTACCTGTTCTTTTCCATGCCCAGACAAGCGCTCCGAGTGCAAGTAATAGCACACATGCTATGATCGGGGGTAAAATGTTTAGCAAATTGACCGTGTTTTGATCTATACAAGGAAATGTATCATGTTAGAGTTTGCTGCATCAAGCATTGCTTACGATTGTGTGATGAGTTTACTTTACCTCTAAAAAAGAGTAAAAGATGGACATGCGAATATTCAAGAACCTAAGTACCACTTAAAGAGTTTCCTCGTGGATATTACTGATTAGGGTTTTGATATCATGACGCTCAGTCAAGTTATATGCGCATACATAATTTTCCGCTGCAAACATCAAAAGTGAACCTGATGATTAAACTTTTTCTTCTTTTTTGGCTGCTTCGGTAGTGTCAAAACTAGTACATAGGAAGAGATATGGTACGCTGTAATGGTTTATCTGATGTCTGATCGATCTAGTTGATGTCACGGGCAGGGTAGAATAGATCAGGGAGCACTACAGCACAACACTTTTTGTACATTCTCAAGGAGCTCTTGGAGATGCTCTAAGTAGTTCATTAGTTGTGAGTTTTCTTTTCTGCTAACTATTCGAGTATCCCTAACCCCACCGCACCCCCCCCTCCAACAACTTGCCCTCCAGTTGGAACGATAGGTACATGCATGTGAATTATTGAGGAAACCCGGCCCCACACGATAGCTGAAGTTTTAAAGTCCATTTAATATTAGGACATATGGTTGAAATCCTAAATTGCTTCGGAGTAATCTTCATCTTACAAATAGGCCATATGATGGTGATGGCATGACTCCTTGTCAGGTTGACCACTAATGTCACTTTTGAGGAAAGAAGGATGAGGTGTTAGGGATGCACGTACCAGGAGATTTGCCAAGTCGAATGTACAAGACCTCTTCAAAGATTTGCTTCCCCATGTCGATGAGATCCCCAGCCCAAACCAAACACCTCGATGTGTCGCCCATAGTATCACCATTGGTTAGGTTGGCGTAGGCGTATGCCATACACGAGCAGTTTCTAGTGCACTCAGCTGCACACTGCTCGAAGCTTCTATCCCTAATGTGCAAGAACTTGTCAGGAAGCTTCATATTAGGCATGGCCATGAAATAGTCTTCCTTTCCACATTCCAGTGCTTCCCTTCTCTGGCATCCTCTAGAGAAGTTGAGACTGTCAAGGAGCTCAAAACCATCAAGACACCGGCATGTCGGGATTGCCTCCGTGCGGTCACAGTAGCCGAACGGACCACAATAGGCGTAGAGACCACAGCTATTAGGAACCTCAACGATGACTGCCCATGACGAAGTGGTGCTGTTCCAAGCGAGGAGCCTCCCCTTGCCTGTATAGTCCAACGAAATGCGGATGTATGGTGAGCCAGGCGAGACGGTGTACATATAGTACGACTTGTCCGCCGTGTTGATAGTTGTTTGGTACAAGATCACGTCGACGCCATTGATTTGTTGCATGCCACCGGATACCGGGTTGCCATTAACAACAGGGAAACGGAAGTATGGCAACGCCCCATTCCAAATGAATAGCTGAAGGTTTGAGGTGGGATCCATGCCAAGAGAGAAATCTCCGGTTGATGGATCGTTAGGGCCCTTCCATGCAAATAAGTGTGTCGCCGGTTGTGCCTTGTAGCTTAGCAGGACCCTCATGGTTGGAAGAACGTTATCGGTCGGGTGATCGAAGCTTTGCCATAGCTCCGTGCCGTTCGGCGACCGAAGGACAAAGTTGCCTGAGCTGAGTAGCACCGCGGAAGCTCCGGCGCCACCTCCACCTGTGTCTCCTGTTGCCGTCCAAAGAGTGTGGCCTTGGGAATCCGACAACACCAGCTCTGAGTTGCCGGTGATGGCGAGCTTCGCTGACAGTGTTTTGATTGGGTTGTCACGGTTAGCGACCCATACCACAGTGCGTTCTGCAATGTGGTGGTACCAGATTCCTATGTACAGCTTCTTGCTGGAGTTGGTAGGGGAAAAGAAGCCAAGGGCAAAGTCTCCGCCCTCCGAGATGAGCGTGTCTTTGGGCAACAGTGGCTTTGTTTGTGTTAGCTGGTTGTCGGATCGACAGAGTGAGCTCAGGAATGTGAGGATGATGAAGGCGGCAATATAGACCATATCAATGTCCATTAGGCCTTTCTTGTTCATCATCTGCCTAAGCAGTGTGGAGGAAATACTAGCGTCTAGTGTTTATATATAGACGAAGATCGAGCATCTCTGGATTATTGACGTATATATGTAACTTTTTACGGTAATAATGAGTGGACCTATACTTTACGATATTTCTGTCCGTGGAATCGAGTCGTAGTAGCTTTCAACCATAAACGTTGTACGGGCGAGCGTTGGATGATGGCGAAGGCAGCAATAATTCCCAGACGACGTTTATTGCCATCTGTTGCTAAACCTAAACTAGAGGTTCTAGACTAACAAAGCACCGAGGAGCAGAGCACACAGGAAGCAGCGCAGCGGTGACTGCTGGTCAATGGTCA